GAGGCAGCCGAGCTGCGCGGGTGGGGGCGAGGCAGCCGAGCTGCGCGGGTGGGGGCGAGGCAGCCGAGCTGCGCGGGTGGGGGCGAGGCAGCCGAGCTGTGCACCATCTGTACCTGCAGTTTAGAGCTGGGTGGAGAAACACAGCCGAGCCGAGTGTTGCTTGTTTTTAGCTTTTTAGCTAGCTAGTATCGCGCGCAGCTAATTAGCGTTACGTCAGTACAGACAGGTGGATGGGGGGGGGGGGGGGTGCAGTTCGGTTCGTATTTGCGTCATAAAATTAGCAAATCATCATATCATTTATTTTTACCGGTACTATCGTGAATGATATATGGCCCAGCCCTACCAGAGAACCTCTGAAAGGAACCCAAGAACCCTGAGAACGTTTTGAAACATTGTAGACCCCCTCAGGAGTCTAACTGGTCTACAGCAGTCTCAGACCTGTGGGATCCTGACTTGAAGTCCAGCACAGAAGAAGAACAGGGATCTCACCAGTGACATTCTGGGGGAACCAGCTTCCCGAGCTCCTCTAAAGATTTCTCTGAGCGATACTCCTGCAGATACAACAAGGGTTCAGCTTCTCATCCATACAAACAGCTCCTACCAAAATGAGCCGAACAGCAGCCGAAAACAGATCATATGTTTGATGTCACGGTGAAGACAGGAAGTACCTGAACGAAGGCCACCGTCACTACGATGATGATGGCCTGGTAAAACAAAGAGAGACATTCAGGACAGAGCTGAGAATATAAATACTCAGAATATGTCTTTGTCTGATTTTAGCTGATGTCACTTCACAGTAAGCATGCTGAAGGTGTGGGGGTCAAACTGAACTGAAGTTAGACTTAGTTCACAATTCTATTATTCTTGATATGAGATCATCAGACCAGCTGCTTCTGGCCGTACCAAAAACCAGCTGAAGCTCAGAGGAGATCGAGTGTTTTCAGTCGTGGGCCCTAAACTCTGGAACAATCTGTCCATCAACATTCGACAGGCCACCTCAGTCTCTGCTTTTAGATCTCTCCTAAAAACACACCTGTACTCACTGACACATCTGTACTCACCGACACATCTGTGCTCACTTACACACCTGTACTCACTAACACACCTGT